GTCATCTTGGGCTGGAACAACACCAAACCCGTATGAATCTGCTAGGAAACAGGTGTGAGAACTAGGCAGGGGCCCCACCTAGAAGCCACTCACTGGGGATGTGACGCACTTAACTTCTCTGAGTCTCAGTTTTCCCAATTTATATCATTCTACCTACCTTGATTATTATCATAATGACCAAATTAAATAACGTATGTGGAAGTTCTTTCACAGAATTTTACATCCATAGAAATATGATGTTCTTAAGAGACCTTAAAGACAGAAATTGAAGAGGAAGAAGGAGGAAGAGAGGAGAAAGAAGAGGAGGAAGAAGTTGCTGTCATCAGGATAGACTGATGGAGTCACTGTACTTAATTAAAAGATTCCTGGGATGTGGCAGCAAATTTCTAAAACTGGTCCCCCAGTGAGCCTCTCTCACTGGTACTTGAAGGGAAGTATCATCCTTTCCTTTAGACCTTGGGCTGGCCTTGTGACTCATTCTGCACCAAAAGAATGCGGGGGAAGTGATGCTGTGCAATTTTTAAATGCTGTGTAGCTTGAGCCTAGGCCCTGTGGAATGCTCACTCTAAGACAAGCCAGCTGTTACATGAGTTCCACAGGTGTTGAAATGCCATACTTGCGGACGCCCAAGCTCTCCAGGCAGAGGTCACAGGGCAGGTGGAACTGTTGAGCCAGCTCATTTTTTCCAGCTATTCCACAGAAGAGGTCTCAAGTAAGAAGCCCCAGCTGAGCCCAGCCAACCTCAAAACAGAAGAGATAATACATTGTTGTTTTACGCTGCTAAGTTTTAGGGTGATTTGTTGTGCAGCAAGTGATAACTAGAATATAGGATGATTTGGATTTTTCATGTTCAGTGAAGGCTTATTGAGTTAATGAACGCAGAATTTCATAAGACATCTAGGATAAAGGTACAGATCCATATCAGAATTGATTTCAGATGATTTTCAGCCTCTTGTCAAAAGTATATTGTTTCAAGAAAGGCATGTCAAGGGGTTAATATGAAGAAATGACTGGTGCATGAATACCAGAATAGAAAGTGGGGAAAAGCCAGGCATGGCGGTACATGCCTGTAATTGCAGCACTCTGGGAGGCTGAGGCAGGAGGATCACCAAGTTTGGGCCCAGCCTGGGCAATTTAGCAACACAGGGTGATTGTGTCTCAAAATACATAAGAAAAAAGGCTGGAAACATCTATTCCCAGTACAGTGGTGGTGGTGGGGTTCCACTTTCAGGCTTTATTTTTGTTACTCATAAATGATTCCTATGGACCCCAATGCACAAGGGAATTGAACACACATACATGCGTGCGTGCGCGCACGCACACACACACACACACACATACACACGAAATTATACATGGGGATTTATGGGACAGTTTACAGGATCAGGGGTGAGGTAGTCTACAGTGGCTATCTGCGTGCCAGAGAGCCAGATGATCCAGTAGCTGCTCAAGCTAGGAAGCTGGAAGGGATCAAGAATGCAGCACCAGTCCAAATCTGAAGGCTTAGAAGCTCCCTGGAGAGTTGCTGGTGTGAGTCTACAATGAAAAGCTTAAGAAACTGGAGTCTGATGCCCAGTCCACAGGTGACAGCAGTAGCAAAAGACATGGAAAGAATGGAGCTTTCCACACGTACACTGACCTCTTCCTTTCCCCTTCATTCCATCTGGGTCGCAGACTTGTTGGATGGCACCACCCACAATGGTGGATCTTCTCCCCCTCAGTTTGCTGGCCTACATACCCGTACCACCTCCGGAACTGCTCACGGATACACCGAAAAGTGCACTCTACCAATCTTCTGGGTGTTTCTTTAGCTACACAAACTGCTAATTAGGATGAACAGTTACAAAGAGCCCAGCTAAATTACCCAGGCTGGCCTCAAATGTGTTGTCCTCCCACCTCCGGCTACCTGGTAGCTGGAATTACAAGTGTGCACTACAGCTCTCAGCTTCTTTGTGGTTTAATATGTGGGCAATTTGAACTATCCCATTAGCTGCTTTTTTTTTACAGTCAGATTTATTGAGATATAATTTTTTGTTTGTTTTGTTTTGGTACTGGGGATCAAACTTGGGACCTTGTGCTTGCAAGGCAGACGGCAGCACAACTAAGCTAAATCCCTGCTGAGATAAAATTTACATATGATAAGATTCATATCTTTTTAGGTATTTAGACCTATGAGTTTTTATAAAGTGGGGAAAATGTTATAGTCACCACCAGAATCAGGAGAGAATATTACTGTATGCCCCAAATATTTCCTCCCTGTCGGTGTCCTCCTTTTGTCCCCATCCCCTCTACTCCCAATCTCACTTCTGTTCCTGTCGCTGTGTCATACGTAAGTAGAATCATACAGGGTGTGGTTTCCTCAGGTCCATCTTCTGTTACTGAGCATAATGCCTTTGAGAGCATCCATGTTGTTCCAAATCAGTACTTTTAATACCATCCCCTCCCTTCTTCTCTTCTTCCCTCCCTTTCTTCTTTCCTTCCTTCATTCTTTTCCTTTCTTCCTCCCTCCCTCTTTCTCCCCTTCCCTCCTTCTTTCCTTTCTTCCTTCCTTCCCTGCTCTCCTTCTCTCTCTTTTCAACCCAGGGCCTCTACAGGGTAGGCAAGCCCTCTATCACTGAAATATGCTTCCACCTTTCAATTTTTCTTTACATGTATCCTAAGACTATACAGAGTTGTGAATAGCTAAACAAGCCAATAGGCTGAATATGGTTGTTAAAGCGTTATCCAAGGACCACCTGCCTCAAATCACCCTGAGTGCTTGTTAGATTCTCAGATTCAGATCTTATAAGTTGGCATGTCTAAACTATTTGGTAATGTGTATTAACATGTACATCTCTTCCTGAAATTTACGCATGACTAAAGTCAAGACCTTCAGGAATTCCAGGATGAACAAGAATAGCTGTTAGAACTGGGTGTGGTAGCACACATCTGTAATCACAGCTAGGGAGGCTGAGGCAGGAGCATCATGAGTTCCAAGCCAGTCTGAACTACATAGTAAGACCCTATCTCAAATAAACAAGGAATATCAGTTAGATGGTCCTGAGTTTGAATGAAGCTATACTGTTCAGATGTATTAAAGATGTATTTAGAGGACTGGGGATTTAGCTCAGTGGTGTCGCTGCCTGCCTTGCAAGCACAAGGTCCTGAATTCAATCCCCGGTACAAAAATATAATGTATTTATATGTATTAAATTGGACAAATGATTTCATTTCTCTGCATAAATGTTTATATTTGGAAATAGTTAATATATTCACCTGAGTATCTATCATATGCTAGGTAGGTATAGTTCTAGAAACTAGGATTACAGCAGCATATAAGACAAAGGCCAGGCCTTCATAGAGCACATATTTGTTTGGGTAAGAAAGACAGTAAGCAATTGATGTTTGAAATAATTCAGAAAGTAATAAACACTGTGTGGAAAATTAAGCAAGGTTTCAGTATAGAGGGAACCTACGTTAAAGGCACAGTCTAGGCTATTTGTTACAAAGTGACTCCAAGTACAATTAATGTATTTCCCACACCTTTCCTAAACTGTCTGGAGTAGGGAGTGAACACAGATGGCTGTGTCATACATAGATGAATCCTTACCTCTGAGATCTTTCATTGGTTTCCAGGTGCTTCACCTCTTAGCAACTTGTCTGTTTTCCAGATAGGAAGAAGGAAGACAAAAGTTTGTGCAGAATGTGTGCCCATTTTTAAAGGGCACACTGCTTTTGTTCACACTTTGTTGATTAGAATCTTGGTCAGTGGCACACCCATCTTTGAGGCTGGGAAATGTAGTGTCTACCTCTGTGGCCATGTGTTCAACTAACGCTCTAGAGGAAGAAGAAAATGGATATGGGGGATAACAGCAGTCTCTCCCAGAGTGTGACTGGATGGGGCAGGATACCTCTTTAACCAGGGCTAATGAAAGATGCCATTTTAGAACATGTTGACTGATTCTAGAATCATACTTTTTTTTCCCCCAAAATGTTTGTTTTAGAGCTAGTGGTGGTGGTGGTGTCTAACTGTAATCCCAGAAACTAGGGAGGCTAAGCCAGAAAGATCACAAGTTTGAGCCCAACCTGGGCAATTTAGTGAGACTGTCTCAAAGTAAAAATGGGGAGATATGTAGCTCAGGAGTAGTGCATTCTGACTTCAGTCTCAGTTTTTTTGTTTTGTTTTGTTTTTTTACAAAATAAAGCGAAGTGAACATCCCCCAAGTGCTCTGGCCATACCATTCAAACACAGTGTATTATTATGGTACCGTAATAATGGACCGTAGATCTGGTCTGCACTCAAACCATCAAAAACATTCACTTTCCAAACTTGGTGCTTTGGGGGTGCACAAGGAAAATGTTCGTGGCAACGTGAGGTTGCCAGTGTGGAACTCTGGGCTGGCGGTTCAGTCCGCACGGATATTCGCCGGGTTTGCTCTCACACAGGCTCTGGCTGGGGAAGCCCGGTCTCTTCTGGGCCACTGCTCACTAACTCCACGAAGGGCGGGGGAAAGCCACGTCTTTCTCTTGTATCTTTTTATCTCTAAAGCCATTTTTTTTAGGTATGTCTTATATTCTGACGCTCTATCCAGAATAGAGATTGCCTCTCTCTGTTTTTATTATCCTGTTCTAATGATCATGCTGCTTTATCAGCACGCCCTACGGTAAAATCTTAAACCTTTTCGGTGCCCGCAAATCGTCTTTAGAATATTGTAATCGTGGTGGATCCTCCCGTCCCCCACACAATGCGCAGTAAGAGGAGTTCACCGTCTCCTCTTACAGGTCCCTTCGGCCTGTTTTGGTTTGTTTCGTTGTGTTGTTGTCGTTAATCACTAATCTCTCCCTCCACTAGCGCCTGTCCTACCCGGCTTCCGCCTCCCCCGGCTCCTCCTAGCAGAGCTCAGACGCGGACTTCACCCCTGGAACTAGCTGGCTTGGCCGGCCGCCGAGGGCCTCGGAACACAGTTACCGACCTCTTGTTGCTCGTCGGTTGGAAGGGAGAGGGACGTGCCTGTCCCGGAAACGGAAAATAAAGCAGGGGACGGGTTTGGCAGAGAGACGTGTGGAAAGGGTGGCACTGAGTTAGTTCCTCCGAGATGTTCCCGAGGGTCTCGGAGCTTCTACGTCTTCGCCCCCTGTCCCGCGTCCCTTTGCCCTGTGGAAGCCCGGAGGTGTCCGCGGCTGCAGTTTTACCATTTGCTGCTCCTCCCGGAACGGTCAGGTACACATTTTAGAGCTGTTGGCCTCGCAGGTCGTCGTGCAACTCCATTTCTTCTCCTGTCATTGAGTTACTGTTCTCCGGTTCTCTTGGGTCGATGTTATAACCTGAGAAACCTTAGAAGCCTTTGATTTCAATCTAAGGAGAGCAATCTTAGAAAGATAAAATGGCATGAGTCAAAGTGTGCATGGGAAACAGCCACGATGACAAGTCCGGTCTGTCCTGCGCTGCTTCTGCGGCATGCCACGTCTCATCCTGCTCTTTTCTTATTCCAACTCCAGAAATGAAGTGGGTTTTTGCCTCTTCAAGACTTTGACCTTCATTTATTCTTTAATTCATTACCGAAAGTGCTTCCGCTCTGGCGGTACTGCTGTTGCGGAGCTTGCGAGGCGCGTAGTGCAGTCGGCAATTCGGGGTCAGTGAGGTAGCAGCTGAGATGGTGTAGGTTGCACAGAGTGCGCCGTTCACTCAAGAGGTAATTGCTGAGAGAGCAAATGAGGACACAGTCCTTGTAGGAAAGGGTCAGGGTATTCGTTCTGCAGGAGACGTCTGGTAAAATCTCTGTGAGGACCGCCGTTTGGAGTTAGCCACGAAAGAAAAGATGTTGTTGCATACTTGTTTGGCTATTTCTCCTCTAAGAAATCTATGATTATGAGAACCTAAACAGTACTGCATGTGGTTCATGCAGAACTGTTTGGGACCAGTTCGGTTTTATACAGTGCTGAAGCAAGTTGGTAGGAGCAACAATGGGAAAGATCAGCTGGAGGAATGTAGAAACTGCACAGGTAGAATTAATAATGACAGGCTGGGTATGGTGGCATATGTCTGTAATTCCCAGCACAGGGGAGGCTGAGGCAGGGAGATTGCTGTGAGTTCAAGGCCAGCCTAAACTACATAGCAAGACCCTGTCTCATGATGATGATGATGATGATAATGATGTGTCGTGATGATAGTAGTGTGGTTAGAGATGTACAAATTTCAACTGATTACCCTGGCGGATTAGAGTATCATGAATGATAGACGAAGATTGAGGAGATTTGAGCAATATTTTTAAGTATATCATAGTTTTTAGATACAAACAAGTTTTTGGTAGGAGGCCCATTGGATACAGAGAGTAGAAAATGGAAAGTCAGTATGAGGGGAGAGGTCTTGAATATGGTTTTGGATGTATTGCATTTGAGGTGGTGATCAGATATTCTCAGTGAAAACAAATTTAGAGCTAGTTTTATTTTAATGTTATGGATTCACACAACTTTCCTATCATACAGGGTTTTTTTTTTTAAATTTATTAAGTACTAAAGCAATCATGGATGGAAGCACTAGTTATACAGGGGATTCATTTTCCTTATTGCCACCTGTTAAAATACCTTTAGTAACAGCCTTTGATTGTAAACTAAAAATTAGAATTTGTAGTTATTGAATGATACTATATTGCAGGTTCTTTGTCCTGATTGAAGATACTAGTTGTGCAGGTTTTTTTTTATTCCAGTTTTCAATCTCTTAAAGAACATCTGACATTTTCATAAGCATATTTCAGCATTTTTGGAAATTGCTGTTTCTCTTTCATTTAACTGTTCCTAGCCAGACAGTGTGTTTTGCCAGCTTTGAGAACTTAATATATTACTTAAGCTGGAGTCTGGTGCAGGAATCAGACTGCATTAGAATCAACTGAGGTTTTACTTAAAATACAAATCTCTGAACCTCATTCCAAACTAAATACTCCCCGACAGGCATTGCCACATTTTATTTTATTTTATTTTTTTCAGCTTTAATTGAGTTTATTGGTACATTTTAGGGATACAGTACAGTTACATTCATTGTTGGGATCTTGTTTGTAATAGCTAAATCTTGGAATCAGCCCATTTGCCCATCCGTTGGAAACTGGATAAAGAAGATGTGGTTTTTCTATAAAATGGAATATTAGCCATAAAGAATGAGAAAATAGATTCATTCATAGGAAAATGGATACATATTGAAGATATACTCCTAAGTGAAATAAATAAGGCACAAATGTGTAAATACCGAATAGTTTCCCTGGTGTGAATAATCTGCAATAATACATAAGATCCTCATTCCAAACTTAAAACTGAAGATATCAGGAATCTATATTTTAAATACTCTTAGATAATTCTTTTTTTTCTCTTAGATAATTCTTGTACCTTCTAGCAGTGCAGAAGCAACAAACTGCTCTGAGCAGCATTTTTTTCTTTTATAAAATACAAACATTCAAGCCTGCCCTGTAAGATTGTAAAACTTAAATAACATAGTTCTGCCCAGCAATATTAGCATCTCTTGGGAACTTGTTAGAAATGCAAGTTTTCTAGTCTGTGCTCACAAGCTATGGAATCAGAATACTTTGGTGGGACAGAAGAATGTCCACTAAGACACTTCTTGTGCACATTAAAGTTTGAGATGTTTTATTGTAGTGTATTAGCTTCATAGAGGTATGGGATCATGAAATTCTTTTTATTAATATATCATCAGCTCTGATTATAATGCCCAGCACAGGATAGATATTTAGTGAATTGCTTTTTATACATTATTCTGCTTACTGAAACTAACACATTCATTAGTTTTTAAAGTTTTTCAATAGCAAGTACTGTGAGGTTTCTAACCCCACAGAATAAATTAAGATATCTGGGTTATGTAAAAGTAGGAAATATTTTGTGTGGTTCTGAAGTAAATGTGATCATTTATGTTCTTCTTAAATATATCTAATGATAAAAGCAGAATGACAAATCTAGCCACTGAAAATTCTCTTTTCTGTTCCACTTTTGTATATCTTACTGTTATTTAATATTTATAGGAGGCCATAGATTTGTATTAGTTACCTGCACTGAACCCAACCGACAAAACTGACACAGAATTAGTCCCATTAACTAAGCTTTGATTGGTTGCAGGAGGCCTAAAGCCAATTAAGTAAGTAAACTGTAAACAACTGTAGCCACTTGACTGATTAGCTAAGCTGAAGCTAATGAAATTGTTTTCTGTGCTTCACTTCATTTTTCTAGTAATGTTGTCTAATTACCTTTTTGGATGAAGTTCTCAGAACCTTGCTTCAGGGGCTGCTCAACTCACAAATTAACTTGATTTTGATCTGCTTTGCTAAAATTACTGAATTTAATTGATCTAAGGAATTTTAAACATTACAAGTAGTGATTGGTTATATGGCATGTAACTCAAAGAGACAGTTGATCAAATTAAAGGAACACTCGAATTTTTGTAAGTAACTTTTCATCATTGATAGAAATTTTATTATTTTAATGTCCTGTTATGATTTTTTTGTTTGTTTGTTTTTTGAGACAGGGTCTCACTATGTAGTTGAGACTGACCTGGAACTCACTGTGTAGCCCAGGCTGGTCCTGAACTCACAGTGATCCTCCTGCCTCAGCCTCCCGAGTACTGGGATTATAGGCGTGAGCCACCACGCCCAGCCAAAGTGTTTTTTGTTTGTTTGTTTGTTCAGTTATGATATTTTAGGGAGATAGTATAAAATGTTAAGTATAACAGTTCAATTTGGGTTTGAGAATAATAAATTATGTATTTACCATTTGTTTCCCAGCCTTTTTTTTTTTTCTCAGTACCAGGGATCAAACTCAGGACCATGTGCTTGCAAGGCTGGCACAGCACCTCTGAGCTAAATCCCTGGCCCTCCCAACTTTTTCTGTTATAATGCACACAAAGAAAATACACCTCCCAAAGGGCCGGGTGATAAGAATCTCAGCACACCTGAACCCATTTGTGTACACCAGTATGGTTTACGCTTTAATGAGCTCTAAGCTACCTGACCTTGGGTAAATTATTTCTGATATTTCCTTATCTGCAGATGGTAGTAATACCTACCTTATGGAGTTGACGTAGGTATGAGAAACTATATCTAAATTATGTTGCACAGGCTAGGCACATAATATATGCTAATACATGGTAAATTGCTGCTGTTTTGGCTGTTAATGAAAGCAAAGACACCTGTAGCCCTTTCCTTCCTATTTCACATTGTCAGTTATCTCATTAGGATGTTATGTACTATTATAGTTTATTGACACCAAAGAAACTATTCGGTATTTACACATGGGAAGGGTAGGGGAAACGTAATAAGGGAAAAGAAAAAAATAAGAGAAAATGAAAAAATGGAAATAAAGTATTTATAAGCAAGGAGGGGAGGAGCGGGTGACGGGAGGGCAGGGACCAGGGGGAAAAAATACGAGAACCAAGACCTGTCATATAAAGGTACAAGATGAATGTAACTGTATTGTATGCCTAAGATGTTCCAATAAACTAAGTGAGGAAAAAAATAAATAAATAAAATCAGGCTTTTGCTAATGAAAAAAAAAAAAGCAAAGACAGAAAGGGCTGAATTTTTTAAAAACTATTTAATGTAGAAGCAATTTTTTAGTTATTACTTTACTATTTTACATTCTATATTTTATCCTTTTTTTCCTTCCAGGACAAAAAATATCCAAAGATATTTTGGTACCAGCAGTGTGATCAATAGGAAGAAAGATGCGAAGTCTGATCCAGTTGGCAATATTTCAAAGAGACAAGACCTTGTAAAAAAGGATGAGAAAAAAAATATATCAGAAATAATTAAAGGCATGAAAGTTGAATTAAGCACAGTAAAAGTACAAACAACAAAGCCACCCAGCAGCAAACCACTTAAAAATGTGGCAGCTGCCATGAACAAGCCCCCAAGAGCTGCAGAAGATGCTCCAGAGAAGCGGTAAATTTAATTGCAATTTGAGTGTTCTTTGAAACTAATTCTTGAGATTCCAATAAGCTTTTTCTTCTAGTAAAAAATATTTTTAATTAGAGTACTTGAGAGACAGTGAATTAAAGCATAAGCATCAGCTTGTTAATACGGGGACCCTAATTACTTGAGGAATGCTGTTATTGTTTTACATTTGAGTAACAAGAATGTTTCTGTATAATGTAAAGAAAGGAAAGGAATAGTTATGAGAATTTAACACAATCTCTTATGTGTGTGTTAATTAACTGCCTTTTAGTTGCCTTTTTAAACTGTTAATTAACAAGAAATATCAGATACATCTTGTTTTAAAGGTCATTATCATATATATAGAGCACTTTCTTGAAATTTTCCATTTAAAACTTCCTCCTAAGATAGAATTTAAACATGATGATTCAGACTGCCTTACCTGACTTCTTTTGACCAGAAATTATCAGAGTTTTCAGCTTTTTATGTGGTTTTTCCCAGAGTAATATTACTTGTGCTTATTAAAGGTACTGTATTTAATTGACTCTAAGTATAGTGATATCCTAACATTGTGTTACAGTTTAAATGGCAGTCTTATTTTAATGATACATGAGATAAGGATTCATTTTTTAGTGATGTCATTAAATGATGTGATATGTGGCCTTAGGATACCTGTCACTCACTTCATTTAACAGAACAAACAGATTTCTGTGTTCCAGAATGACTTAATATTTTTATGGAACTTCTCAGTTTCTTATTCTGCCTGAAGTACCTCTGGGCTGGTGCACACCTATAATCTCTGCAGTGGGAAGGCTGAAGCAAGAGGATCTTGAGTCTAAGTCCAGTCTGGGTTACATAGCTGTCTTAAACACAAAACAAAAAGCAAAAGACTGGAAAGTCTAATTAATGTTAGGCAGTAAACTAGTTCAGACAGTGAGCACCATAATAGGTGTCTTCTTCCTTTAGAAACAAAAAAAGTTATATACAAGTACATAGAAATAAATGATACACATATAAATACTCACCCAGAGTGACTTTTTAGTCTGAGGCAGGAGGATCACAAATTCAAGCTCAGCCTGGGCAATTTAATGACTTACCAATATACCTTCTAAAATGAAAAATAAAAGCTGGCATGTAGCTCCGTGTAAAAGCCCTGGGTTCAATAACAAGTACTGAAAAACAAATAGCCACTTATTTTAGTTTCTAGATTTGTTTATTGCTTTTTTATTATAATTGTGTGATTTAATTAACTATTAAAATGAGTTGAATGCTGTGGAAAGATTCAGTAAAGACAGTTTTTAATTGTTTTCTAATTAAGTATGAATGAGGCAAACAAAAAATAGTTGTGCAGATTGTTTTGTAAGCCTTTAATTTCTTTAAAAAGGCTTTTTACAAAACTCAGAATGAATTCACCTTATTCACCACTCTTTCAATAAAGGACTAAATCCTCTTCAGTAAACACAGAACCAGTGATAAAAGATATGTCTTGGAACCTTCTCTTATTATTTTTGGTATTGAGGATTAAATCCAGGACCTCCAGCAGGCTGGGCAAGTGCTCATCATCTTTAATAAATGCTACATCTACAGTGCATCTGCCAGTATTTCTAATTTCAGTTTCTTTAAAATGGAAAAGTAGAACAAGAACTTGAAAAAAAGCATGGTCCTAGAAATGAATACTCAGCAATGTTTTTTGCATCGCATACTCTGTTCAAATACATAAATTGATATTTGAAAATGAAGTTATCAATGAAAGAAATACAGTTACTTGGGGTGAGGCTTAAGCTTTATTCACAGATCAGTTTTGAAAGTAGCACATTTTCTTCATTTTTCTATTTTTCTTTTGTTACTTGTCAGATATTCCATATTTTGGTAAAGTCCTTAAAATCTTTCCAACAATTTCAGGAATTTGGGGTCTTTAATTTACATGGTAGATGGCAAATGATATGGAAAACCAGGTAATACAAAGATATTAATTTGGATCCCACACGTTAAGATGGAATTTCTCAGTCAAAACAATATGATAGTTGGGCGTGGTGGCACACGCCTGTAATCCCAGCACTCAGGAGCCTGAGGCAGGAGGATCACTGTGAGTTCGAGACCAGCCTGGGTTACATAGTGAGTTCCAGGTCAGTCTCACTACATAGTGAGACCCTGTCTCAAACAACAACAACAAAAACAAAACAACAACAACTAAAAACAATATGACAAATTATTTTTTCTCATAACTCAGGAGTACCCTCATTCATGGTAGGCAAATGCTCTACCACAGAGCTACGCTAAGAGTAGCAGGAGGATCTGTGAGTTCGAGACCAGCCTGGGTTACATAGTGAGTTCCAGGTCAGTCTCACTACATAGTGAGACCCTGTCTCAAACAACAACAACAAAAACAAAACAACAACAACTAAAAACAATATGACAAATTATTTTTTCTCATAACTCAGGAGTACCCTCATTCATGGTAGGCAAATGCTCTACCACAGAGCTACGCTAAGAGTAGTAGCTTTTAAACTTTTTCTGTGCTCGCTTCAGCAGTACATATACTAAACTTTTTCTTATGGGAAATTTAAGACATACAAAGTACACAAAATTATATGAACCCCTGTGTACCTGTCACCCAGATTCAACAGTGATCAGCCTTTTTTTACCCATTCTTGTATTATCAGTACCTTTTCTGTCTCCTGATCGATCATGATGATTTATGGCTTTTCTTTTCCAAGGAAAATTTACATATATTGAAATACACAAATTTCAAATGTAGAATTTTGACAAATGGATACGTGCAAATAAACACATTTACCAAGATACAGAATGTTTCCTATTGTCATCTTCCAATGTGTCTTCTGTCCTGAGGCAACTACTGTTCTTTTTCTCAACTCATTAGTTTTGCCTGTTTTAAACTTGATATAAGTGGAATCATATAGTACTTACTCTTGTGTCCAGTTTTTCATTTTTCCTTCTGTCTGTGTGGCACATTCATCATGTTGGTGCAAGCCAAGTACTGTTCCATTGTATGGGAATCACAACTTAGCCATTTGCCTGATGCACCTGACCTTTGGCTTGGGTCCCATTTTGGGCTATTAGTAAAGCTTCTATGACAGATTTAGCCACTTTTTTTTTTGCAGTATATATGTGTTTGGTTTTTGGGGGGTTTTTGTTTGTTTGTTTGTTTGATTTTTTGAGACAGAGTCTCACTATGTAGTTGAGACTGACCTGGAACTCACTATGTAGCCCAGGCTGGTCTCAAACTCACAGCAATCTTCCTGCCTCAGCCTCCAGAGTGCTGGGATTACAGGAGTGCGCCACCATGCCCGGCCTGCAGTATATGTTCTCTAAATAATGGCATCTGTTTTTAAGATATTAATTTGTAATTTTTGAGGTTTGATTTAGTAGTATACTTCAGCCAGTACTCATAAACTCAGTCGAGCTTTAGTGTTTCAAAATTTATATAAAACCAGCATCTAATTTTTGAAGATTCTTGCTTTTATTGGAAATTGAAAGATTAAAACTAGGGCCTCATGCATTCTTTTTTTCTCCTCATTGAGTTTATCGGTACATTTTAGGGATGTAATTTTTGAGGTTTGATTTAGTAGTATACTTCAGCCAGTACTCATAAACTCAGTCGAGCTTTAGTGTTTCAAAATTTATATAAAACCAGCATCTAATTTTTGAAGATTCTTGCTTTTATTGGAAATTGAAAGATTAAAACTAGGGCCTCATGCATTCTTTTTTTCTCCTCATTGAGTTTATCGGTACATTTTAGGGATACAGTACAGTTTTG